GTTGTGCTTGGGCTGTCAGCTGGTTCATGATCTGATACATGCCCGCGCACAAGGTGTCGATATTGTGTTGAGCCACTGGCGGTGGTGCCGTCGACGGTGGTGGCGGGATATGCCCATGATTTCCTCCTCCTGACGAATTGGCGGGCATCGATGCTGAGGCAGCAGGCGGAGCAGCGCCTGCAGGATGAAGCCGTTGGCGAGGCGATTGAAGGTCGTGAGAAGCTGTCCCCATTGGCAAGTCCTCATCCATGTCATCAAACTCGTTGGCCGAAATGATGTCCTCAATCTCAGTGATGTTCTGCTTGACTTTGTCCAGGGAGGCTTCGAGATGTTTTTCCTCTTCTACCAGGATGGCAATCTTGTCACGTGTGCTCCTGATCTTATCGATTAAGGCGTCCTTCCTGAGATTGAGCTGGTTGATCTGCTTAGTCAGAGAGTCCGTCGAAGATTGCATCAGCTTGAGCACGGATAGCTGGAGCAGTGCCTCCTTGGGATCGTGTCCAGCTTGCTGAGATGCAAAAATGAGTCTTCCAATCTTGAGCATCTGCATATAGTTCTCTCGCTTGAACTTTTTCAAGTCTTGCGCCTCGCTCGGTGGTTCTTGGTAGAACTTGGCGGCCTCTGGATTCGTGAGCATGTCGGCTCTGGAGATCGGAACTGCTTGAAAAACAATAGCCTTCACCGCTTTGTGGTTCCCGTCTTTCTGAGGAGCCTGTCGGGGCCGCGAAGCTTGGCGCCTCGGCTGAGAATGGGCTCTATCATCTCGCTGATGGCGTGGGCCCCCATGTCCATTTTGAGCAGCCAGCTTGCAATTGTGCGTGTAGTGGGTCCCGCACAGGCAACGCCAATGATGAGACTTGACGTAACGGCCGCATGGTATACACGTCCATTCAACTCCAGGTCCAGATTTTTTGGGAATGCGGTACGAGCGATGATTCGTCATATTCGCTGAGTGATGAGATCTGAGCAGATGGGCCGCCTGATGGAGCCGCAATAGCAAGCGTGCCCCTGCTCGATGAGCACGTTCACGGCGATGCCAACTCGGCTCCCCAGCCGTGATCAAAAATGGTCGCGGCACCAGCAAAGAAGTACAGTGGACTGGTGCACGCCTGGGGTCTGCCCTGGGTACGATAGGCAAAATGCTGGACTATCTCCAGAAAATGCCAGGGCCAAGACCCCCCGGGCTTGAGTCAAAATGGCTTGAGCCAAAACGGCTTGAGCCAAAATGGCTACGGAGCTCCTCCTCCTCCTCCTCCTCCACCTCGGGTCGCCTACGGCCCCGGGGGAAACCGTGCAGGTCGGGGGCGGCAAAGAGGGGGGTGATGATCAGGGGGGGGGATACCATGGCGTGGGCCATGATACTTCTCCAGGTTCCATGGCGCCTCTTTTTGTTTCATGACGTCCATGCCGCCCCCCCCCCGGCCGCGCACATGCCGCCAGCCCTGATTTGCGCCCCCGCCCCCCTCTTGGCCGCTCCCGAGGGGGTGATGAGGACGGTCGGTCCCTGTTCAATGATGGGGGGTGACCCACATGGGGGGTGAAGACAAAGGCCCTGAAGGGGCCCTTCAGGGCCCCTTTTGGGCACCTGGTGGCTCCCAAAGGGGGCCCTATGAAGGGCCCCGTTTAGGGATCTCTTTCTTTCACCCCCCATTTGGGTCACACACCCCAGCACCGCCCGCCCGAGAGGATGGGCTGGATTCTCTTGGAGAAGAGAGAACGGCATAAAGCATAAATTGTTGGAGCCCCGCGCGGATGTCTTGGATCTGTGCTGGAGCTCCCTCGGCAGCGCCTCCAGCGCCGCCCCCAGCGCGCTCTGCGCGCCAGGGCGGGCGGTACAGCGCAGCTCCAAGTAATCCGCGCGGACCGTCGGAAGTTTCTGGAAATGCGGTTATTTATGTATGGATTCATGTATGTTGTTTTTGTTATTTTCCTTCTCTATTCTCCTCCAAACTCTGGTCAGTGCGCACCCCAGGAGAGGTCTCGGGACCCGTTTCCCCCGTGCGAAATGCAATCGAAATGGGTACGGCAACCGACAGCAGTTTTTGCTCATGTTTGCACAGGATGTGTCGTCAGTGCCGCCGCGGGCCTTGCCTATTTGAGACGGAAGGCCGCCTGCCAAACAGCGGCCGCCGTTGGTTTCTTGGCAAGATTCGCTGCTGGGCATCGTGCCCATTTTTCCGTCACCACTCGGGCGTCCAAATGTACGAGGCCGCGGTTCAGCGGCGAAGTGAAAAGTGGCGGGCTTGCTCAGAAGGTTCGGAATGCCTCCAGCCTTCTGAGACGTTCTCTGGGCCTTCCCCAGAGACGCACCGGGAACGTCTCAGAAGGCCGGGGGGGGTCCGAGAAGCCCCGCCGTCTTGTGATTATGAATTCAGCTTACGCCACACCGCCGATCCCTTGGGGGACTAGTGGTTGTTGTGTGTTGTTCCTGAGGGCCTCTTGCCGCCTTTGGGCGGTTTCTTGGAGCTCTTTTGGGGCTTAATTGGGGGCCTCTCAGAGATCTTTGGGGGGCCTCTGGGGCTGACTTTTCAGCATTCGCCGTGCTTGCATGGGACAACGGGCGAGACCCCACGTATACTGACTGCGGGCATCTGTCAAAACAACCAACAAAAATATTAGCGAATGGCCGTCGGCGCATCCTGCCACCGTGCCTGAGTTGCGGGTCTGAGGCCATCTGGATGGTTGATGAGGTTTCGTGGGAGGCCTCTTGGGGGCGTCTTGGAGGCAATTTTTGAACTTCTTGAGGCCTCCTGGGGGCCTCTTGGGGGCTTTTGGGGCAATCTTGGTGCTCCCTGGGGGCTTGTTGGGGACTTCTTCGGGCAACCCGGAGGCGACTTGGGGTCGGAGGCTCGAAATGTCCGTTCGGGTTCCTCCTCTGAGCCCCCTCTTGGGGCTGTCCTGGGGCCCAACCTGGGCCGTCTTGGAGGCTTCTTGGTGGGACCCTCTTGGGTCGTCTTGGAGCCCTCATGGAGGCGTCTTGGCCCGTCTCGGGGCGATCTTGAAGGCATCGTGGGCCGTCTTGGACGTAGTGAACGCCTGAGAGCCGAATGTGCCACAACTGTTGGCATTCGCAAGGGAATTGGACGATGCTTGCTTCTGGAGGCCCTCTTGGGACGCCTTTTGGGAGCTTCTGGGGCGCTTCTTGGGGGCCTTACGAGCCGTCTGGAGGCCAGCGTAGGCGTGCTGGATCGGTTTTTCGGCCCTTCGTGGCCCTCTTGGACCGTCCGAGGGGGCCTCTTGGGGCCCTCGTGGCCCGTTTTGGGGCCCTCGTGGCCCGTTTTGGGGCCCTCTGCCCCCCCCCCGTAGCGCGTTCGACCGGGCTCGGGGGGGGGCCTTCCCCCTTCCCTCCAAGTCGACCTGACTGGACTCCTGGGGGAGCGGTTCGGAGGACGCGCAAGGGGGAGGGCGATACATACTAGAGGGGCAGCGAAGGCTGCACAGAAGGGGCCCTTTAGGGCCGCTGCAGGGGTCCTGGCACCTGCCTTCTCCCCCATTAATCTCGGGGACAACGATAGGGGGGGATAGGCATAGGGTGGGATGCATCGACCCCCAATCGCAGATTGATCGCCGATAGGGTCCCGATAGCCCCACCCCGCCCAGGAAGGTGCGGATTCACGATCGGGGGCCTATCGCCGATCTATCGACGATGCATATCGCCGATTCCAGAACGATGTATCCCCCCCAAGCCCATCCCCCCCTTAATCGTTGCCCCTCACTACCATGAAGCGGCGCCCACGGGGTTTGGGGGAGGGGGAAGCACCTCACACGCCGGCCCCAAGGGGTTGGCGAAGAAGGCCTGCTCCTTCAGCATGTTTTGAAAAGGCCTGGCAGCCCCTGACCTGCCAGGTGGGGAGGAAGCGTGTCTCAACTATAGCAAGGCCCTGCGCGCCAAGACCCGTTTCCACCTGGGCCGGCTTCCTTCCTGCTCACCAGAAGGAGAAAAAGGGCATATCGGGGGCGCGCAAACATGGATTAGCGATCCATGCATTTGGCGCGCCGTCGCCAAATCCATGGATCGGGGGAGGTACCCTCCCCAAAATGCGGCCGGCGCCGCCTCGTTCGGCGGCGGAAATCCGCGATTTCCCATTCGAAAGGGACCCGTCGCCAATCCACGCCCCCTTGATCCATGTCTGCGATCGCCTGAGCATAGGAAGATGTGGTTTTTCCGATTTTGAGCCTGGATGTCCGCTTCAGCCCCTGGGCCGTCAAAAGTGGATATGGGGTTGACCACAGATTCATGGGCCAGTTTGGACGCGGTGATGGGTTGTCGGCGGCCGTCATGAGGCCCTCGGCTGTCTATAACGAATTTTGGAGGTCTCAGGTGGAACGCAGGAAAAGGTTCCCCGCGGCCAGCGGGAATCGACAGCACAGGAGGGAGTTAGACTACCAGGTCTCGGCCCTCCCACTTATTTCAGGGATGATTTTAAGGAGGTGCGCCACTCGTCGGACGATTACGCCAGTAAATCATAGTAGGCCAGACTTCGCGCACGCTGTCCCGCAGTCTCCAGTGCCTCGCCACTTGCTGTCTCGCCCCCGAGACCACACGGATGCCTTTTGGCACCTGTCAAGCTAACAGCGAGCTTGGCAATATTCCTACTCACGTCAGCAGTGCCATGATCGGGCTCCCTCGGCACCCTACGCCTGCAGCACCGCCCAACAAGACGCCAGAACGGCGCACGGAGCACACCACCACGCGTCCAAGGAGGACGAGGGAAGGGCAGCAGCAGCAGCAGCGGCCCTCTCCCCTCCCACCTGCCCTCGCCTAGGCGCCAGCCGTCGCGCAGCGGCGACCCCTAACTACGACAGCGGCGGCGGCGGCGGCGGCGGTGCCGGCCTCTGCGAGAGCGGCGGCGACCGGCGACCGACGACGGCGTGCGGCGGCAGGACGCGGCGACGCGACGGCGCCGATCGGCGCCAGCGGCGGCGGTGGCGCTCCGGCGGCGCCCCGCCGGCGCGCCCCGCCGGCGCGCGCCGTCGGCGCGCGGCGCGGAGCGGCGCAGGCCCGCGGCCGCGGGGGCCGCCGACGGCCTGGCGCCGCACTCGCCGCAGGCCGTGGAGGCGCCGCCACCCGGCCGCGGGCCCTCGGCGCCGCCGATCGGAGGTGGACAGGACCCCCACCCAACAGTGACTCGTCGATTAGTGAATTGTCCGTTCTCGGTCCTCGAGAGTCGTGAGGGCGCCGTGGCCGTTCTTTTCCAGGCTTGCGCCCGCCAGGTTTGGGCCTCAGGTCGTTTTCACCAAACCACGTTTTGCTAAAGGGGGGTCTGTCCAACCCCGAGCCGAGGGGCTGACCGCGAGGGTCAGGGGCAACGTGTGGGGAGGTGCAGCCCAGATCCCTATCGCGCTGCGGAAGAAGCACGGCGGGAAGTTTTTGCGGTGTTCGGCCTCCAGTGGCCCTTTGCCGGGCCTCGGGACGGTCAACAAACGACTCGGGACGAAAAACTGGTCCCGGGCAAGGGGTGCAACCCAGACCCCCATCGCGTTGTGGAAAAATCACTCGGAAAGTTTTTGCGGCTTTCGGCCTCCAGGGGCCCTTGCCGGGCCTCGGGACGGTCAACAAGGAAGAAAAATTGGTCCCGGGCAAGGGGTCCAAATTTCTGGGGGTCGACGTTGTGACAAAAATCACGACGTCGGGGATCTGGGAACGCTGCGGGAGGTTTCCCAAGGTGTCGGAGGTTTTGTTCGGGGCCCAGGATGGTCAGCATCAGCTGCTCCTCGCCGAGAGCGTTTCGGGGGGCGCGTGCCAGAATCGTCCCGAACGGCTGCCTGAGGCCCGAGCTCTGGCCCGAAGACAAGTCGGATCCATGGGCAGGGGTTGGGGGAGTAGGCACAGGGGAGGTGCATCGGCCCCCAGTCAATCGCCTACCGATTTGCGATTGGGGCCCAGCATCCCACCCAGCCCAGGAGCGCGCAGATTTGCCATCGGAGGCCCATCGCCAGTCGATCGGCGGTGTATCGCCGATTCCAGGTCGATGTTCCCCCCTGAACTAGTCCCCCCCTAACATTGCCCCTCAGATGGCGGCGGCGGTTTCGGCGGCGGCTGCGGCGGACGCCGCCGCCGCCGCCACCCGTCGTCGTCGCCGCAGCCGATGACGACGGTGGCGGTTTCTGCGGCATCTGGCTGCGGTGGCGACGCCTGCGGCTGCGGCAACAAAGCAAACGACGACGACGACGACGACGACGACGACGAGTGGTGGCGGCAAACGTTGTCGCAGCATTGGAAGCCGCCGGGCTGACGGAAGGATGGAGAGAACGAGGGAGGACGATGGAGTAGGGCGAGAAGGGACGCGGGAGGACGCAAAAGGTACGTATAATGGAGCAGGAAGGCGCAGACGGTATAACGGACAGAAGGTAGAGCGAGGAGGAGGGCGGACGAGGAAAAGAGGGAAAGGGGAGCAAGAGGGAGGAGGGAGGAGGAAGGCAATAATGAACATGAGCAGGGAGAACGAGGGAGGAGGGAAGAGAGAGAAAGGGGAGGAAGAGGAGGAAGAAAGGGGGGGGGGAATGGAATGGAATGGAATGGCTTCATGACGGTGTCATATCTACTGGACGGGCACGCGCTGCCAATTCGGCAGCACTCCGCACCTTGGGCACAAGACCTCTCCTGATGCGATCCAGGTAATCCCTCCTGGTCGGGTTCAGGGGCTTGTGGCACGACTCTTTGAGATCGCTCCGAAGGTTGTGGGAACAAAAGAAACCGCACTTCCCGCAGAACCAGAGCCCCAGAGTGTGGTGATAAGTTAATTCGTGCGATTCGTGCGCCCACCCCCCAGCTAGGTGCAGCCTGACCCCCTTAGGCTTATGTGAGACGACGGAGTCGACAGTGATTAAATCGAAACATGGTGTGCCAAGCCACTCTTTGGCAGTGGGACGAGTGGCGCTACTATGACAACGGGTGCATTTAAGCCCACACTCACTTAGGGAATGGGACGTGCTGAAACGTGCTGCTACTAAAGGGTTGAGAGGAGGAGGCGGAGGAGGAGGAGGGGCGGGTGCCTCAACATCACCTCGTGCGACAGCACTTCGAACTTCACGCTCGGCGGCTTTTTCAGCGGCAGCTGCATCAAGGGTGGCTCGAAGGAGCCTCCTCCGAACAAGTCCGACTTTGCGTTCACAATCAAAGATACGTGCACGAAATGATGGGGCAATCCTATGCCTCTCCGCTGCTCCGTCTGCCAGCGCGTCAGCAACAGCATTTCCGATCAACATCCAGTTGTCCACATGCTTCCTGGCCGCATCTTCAGCTGAGAGGTGCGAGGTGATCTGCAAAACGACAAACTCCGATAGATCACGCTCGCGAAAGTGCTGGCCAACTTCACTCCACAGAGTGCCCAACTCTCCAGAACATGTCCGATACTGCTTATCATACCAGCCTCTGCAGACAGACTCATTGTCAGTCACGAATATAGTCGGTCCCCTTGAGCCTCGGGCTGCCCACTCCAGCGCTCGCAACTCTCCACGTGGAACTGATTGTACTCGCCCTGTCAGGGGTCCCGAGACTGTGATACCCACATTCGCTTGAATGGTGTCTGTGATGACTGCAAGCCCGATGCCCACACGACGTAGGGCTGGATACCTGCTGTCTCCACCACCCGACGCGTCACCACAAATCAAGAGAGGCTCTGCGAACGTGCCTTCTCCTAGACTCCCAGGTGACAGCGTCGTATGATTGGAGTTGGTGATGACCAGCTCCTCTAGCTCAGCAGGCGGTGGCACACGAGCACGATCTGCTGGGATGATGCCTCGAAGCCAGAATGCGGGAAAAGCTTCGGCTTCGGCCACAGCTTGCGGAACGATGTCGTCCGTCGTGCTGTATGCTTTGGTACCATGATTGGCCCGACATAGCCAATCTCTGTGCAGCATCGTCTCAGGTGCCTCCTTACACCGTGGGCATAAGGGCGAGGAGCACAGCCCGTGGTCGAACGTGCGCTGCCTAGTCCAGCAGCCACCTGTGGCTATGGTGAGAAGAAGCTCGGCTAGCTTGGCTCCGTGTGGCATCTCGCGCAAGCGCGCTAAAAGCATGCGCAGTGAGTCACTGTCTGCGCCTAGCTCGAGCCCCTCACCACAGAACGCCTGAGCTGCTTGATGCCAGAGGTCCCCTTCTAGCGACTCCTTGAAATCGAAAAGAAAACCTGATGGATCCACATGCTTGGAAGCGATAACCTCATCGTCGAAAACCCAGTCCACTTCTGAATAGCCGTGCCGTGCGAGTCGTGTCCAGCGTGACGGTATCTGGGGGTCCCACCCTGCGTTCACAAGGTATGTGACAACTGCCGAGACTGGACCTCGCACATGACGTGATCTGTCCGAAGGAGAAAGTGCTCTGACTGACTCGACGAGGCTGCTCCAAATACGACGAACACCACTGCGGATCTCGGGATACTCCACCCAAGTCGAGAGCCACTGCTTGAGGCAAAGTTGAGGTAGCCGCACAGCAGGGTCCTGACCCTGTGCCCGCAAATCCAGGAGTGTTGTCAAACATCTCCCACGCTGGGTTGCCCCAGCGACTGCGCCGACTTGACGGCGCATGTTCCTCAGCTCGGTGCCAAATATGCCGTGCACCTGGTGCGCATAAGCTGCTGAGGCCTGCGGACCAGCCAACTGCACGCGCTTGGTGGCGTGGTAGCACTTCGACGCGAAAGCGTGGCCACGTAGTCGCACGTGTCGGGCCTTCGCCTTGACCACTCGAGCGGCCCTGGTGGCTCGAGCAGCTCGGCGACCCCCTCCCAGGTCCACGCCCAGGTACCCTGCTTGTCGAACCGCTTGGATGTCGATGCCTCGCATCCGTAGCTGTCTGACCACTGCCTTGGAGTCCTTCATGAACCCACACAGCACGACGCTCTTGGAGGCGAGGGTGAGCTCCTGCTGATGAAGCTCGTCCCTGACCAGCGTGACGCCTTCGACCAACTCATGAATGATAGCTGCGCTGGAGCCTCGCTGCCCAAGATACAGGTCGTCAGCCCAAATCCTGTGGCTGGAGGTCACTTTGGCGGTGCACAGCGAACTCATGACGTAGTGCGTGAGACAGCGACCGAAACGCACCCCATTCCGCAGGCTTTGCACGATGCTACGCGTGGCATGGAATGGTTGAGAATAAGCGCCAAACTGCGAAAGAACTCTGGGCCCCGTACACAGTTGAAGCTCCAAAAGAAGGGCCACGCCTGGAAATCCTCGCTCCACTGCAGCTCTGGCCAGCCTGGTCCATCTTATGTGGTCATAGAAGGACTTGATATCAATGAGGGCACACCCGTGAGCTGCGCCAAGGCGGTGGTACAGCTCGTGGTCGATGGCCTTCATGAAGGCCTCCTGGAGCGCTGAGTTGCCAGCGATGGCCGCATCCCAGGTCGTGGGACGATCAGCGGCCCACGACCTCGAATGCACTTCACGAATCAACGACCACACTCGGCACACCATAGCCAGGATGCCGATGATTCTGTCTCCTCCTGATTTCTTGGGGAGGAGCCTCCCCAAGACAACGAGCAGCTGCGTCGGCCATGTCCCAACGTCCTCGACGGTGTTGAGCAGGTCGGCTAGCGCTGCATGCCCTTCGGGAGGGAGGCGCTGCATGTCCAGCGGCGTGAGCTGGTCTATGCCTAGACCAGCTCTCGGTTTCATCTTAGATAAAGCGACACGCACATCGCCCCCGTCAATCGGCGGCAATGTGTTGACCTCTGCCCAGGACCGAATCAAGTGGAAGGCCTGCTTCACCTCCTCGAGATCGAACTTGGGGTCGTGCCAAAGTGTATGCCATTTCTTACTCTTCTCGTCGATGACGTCCCTGGGGTGAAAGACATGCCGATCTCCTGAAAAAAGATCTCGTCCTGCGCCTCGGGGTTGTCCTTGATATTATTGTGTAGAATGCCTTGAGCTGGGACTGAGACGGTCCAGTCCTTGAAATCATTTAAAGACGCTTGCATGGCTTTCCTAGAGGCCTTCCTAGAAGCCTTCTGGGCGCCCTGCACGAAGTGATCCAGCGGATACCGTGGGTGTTCGAAGTCGTGACGGAGGAACTGCACCCAGGTGTCCCACTCCAGAGCATCGGCGGGGGGAATGCAGGTGTGAGCGCCGTCAGGTACGTCTCCTGCAAGCCTCACGCCCACCTGGCCCAAGAAAGCCAATTGCCTGTCGCCTGAAAGCCGTTGTCTGTGTTTCTGTACACGTACCAGCACCTGCAAAACTCTGGCCCACCAGTTCGAGACCTTGTCCCGCAGCGGCGCGTCTCTGAATGTGAGCGCTTGTTGGACAGGCATTGTTTGAAGCTGCGGGTCGGTGGTCCGCGAAGTCGTCGGTAATGGGATATCATGATGAGCGGATATGAGGAAAAGTGGAGGAGGCTGGAGGAGCAGGGGGAGGAGGAGGAGGAGGAGGATATGTAGGACAATTGGGAACATTTGCTGTAAGTCCGAACTCAGAGCGAGGACCATGCCAAGGAGGGTTGAGCACCAGGACGGCCGAGCTGTTTTTGTTGAGGGGTCTGGGTACACTATCGGAGGTTGGGGGTTGAGATCGAAGTGAAACGGAGGCCACCCTTACAGACAAATCGGTTTCGTGCGCGCGTTCGTGTCGTGCGTCGTGCGTGTAGGCAAGGCGAAGCTGCGTGTGCGGGCGAGAGGACTAAACCCTCCTCTGGCTAGGGCGCCGCCGGGCCATTAGACCGCCCCCCCCCGGTTGTCTGGCGGTGGCTGGGGGTGCCCCGCCGTGGTGTCCCAATGGTGCCTTGTGGGGTCCCGTGGTGTCCCGCGGTGTCCCGATGGTGTTCCTGTGGTGTTTTGGTGGTGCCCGTGAATCTTGGGGTTGAGATGGCAGTCGCATGTTTCAGCCCTGCGGCTTCTTCCCGAAGTCAGGTGTTCCTGTGAGCCTCTGGCTGCTGGCTTTACTTCTCGCCGACGAAAACAGAGACGATCGCCGTATCACTCACATTGGTAGCTGGAGCCCATGGTTTCGGTCTGCGCTCAGCTGAGCTGACACCTGCACTTCATTCTGTCTGCGTGTGCCATGGCTGGATGTACGTGGAGGCCTGCCGACCGCGGCCGAGCGGGCGGCGCCGCTGAGGGACAACGACGGCGACGCCATCCTTGAGGACGACCGCGCGCACGACGACCTACGGCAAGCATTTGCCCCCAGAAGGGGTCGGCAGTCGGGACAGCCTTCCAATCTCCATCTTCGACGGCGCAGGCTGGAAGGACTCCGCGAGGCGCGGCGAGGCCTGGCAGCCGGGGACCTCCCAAGGGACGCACCCGCGAGGTCCAGCGCCCTGCGCTGGTATGCAGGACGACCTCTGGGCTGCGGTCGAGGATATCGACCTGAAGCAGCACGCGGGAGGGCGCTCGGGGGGAAACGGTTTTTCGGTTGCTGCCCGAGGGGGGGGGGGGGGGCAGAATGCAACATCACAGGTGCGAGGGGGCAATTGGTTTCTACAGTGGGGGTGCGCCGGAGATTTCGCAAGGCACGGATCCCCCCCACTGGCTAGTATTCTTGCCAGGGGCGTCTCGGCGCGGCGCCCCCCCGGGAACCTCTGGCGAGGCGCGGCTGGCCCGCTGGCAGCGAGGCGTTCGAGGTTGAGGCTCGTCGCATCCTCAACCACTCTCGATGGCCAGCCCCGCTCGCAAAGCTTCGGCATGGGCGCCCCGGGCCCTTGCACCCTTACCTCGCGCAGCCCCCGCTCCCTCGCACCCTTCACGCTGCAACCCGCGTTCACGTGTGCCCGAGCCTGTGCGGGCCCCTGGCACCGTTCCACCCCCCTTTCCTCAAGCACAGCCCGCCACGCCCCGAGCTCAGCCAGCCATGAGCGCTCCTCTCATCCCCGAACCTGCGCTCGCACTGGCAGCGGCTTGGGCCGCTGCTCTCGAGGCACCTAGGAGCGCCCGCCCGCCGGCCTCTGCAGCGGCGGGCCATGTCCGCCGCCGCCGCCCTGCCGCGCCCGGGCGCAGCGGGCCCGGCCGCCCTGCGGCACCGCGGGCCGGCGCCCAGCGCGCGCCGCGGGCCGGCGGGCGCAGCCGCCGCCGCCGCCCTCGCGGGCCCGCGGGCGCGCCGCGCGCCGCCGCCGCGGGGCGGCGAGGGCGGCGGGGCAAAGACGATATGCCCCGAGGGGCCCGGGGGCCCGAGGGCAGGGCTCGCAGGTTGGCTCCTCCGAGTCGACGCGACGTCGGCGGTTTCCGATGCCGCTTCGGTTCGGCTGCGGATTCCGGTTTGGTCGGGCGAAGAGAACTATGCACGGGCACCGCTCCTGACAACGTCCGTCCTTGACCCAGGATCGGTGCATATGCCGTCCTGGCCAAGGTAAGAGGGCGTATGCACCGATCCTGGGCTGGGCCTGGCCAGGATCGGTGTATGTGCATAGTTCTCTTTCCTCTACTGGGGGGCTCCGCTTTCTCAGTGGAGGCCTCTTGGCCCATACCGATTCCCGCGGAGCCGACTTCTCCCAGCACAGTTGCCGGTTTCCGCCGGTCCGATTCATTTCGATCGCCGGGCCGACGTCTCGATTCGATTCTGGGCCGTCATGCCGAGGTTGGATTTACATTGTCTGAGGCGCCTCGTCCTCAGGGCCCCATCCCTCAGGTCAGGCGCTCCAGAAAGTTTGCAATGTCGCCAAGGAGTACCACCAGAGCCCTGGACCCTATCTTTCTGCTCCATTTTTCGAGCCGGATCGGCCGGTGAGGGCCCTGGGGCCGGTAGTGGGCCAAAGCGCCCGTTGTGAAGAGCTAGTAGGCCAAGTGGGCCAAGCGCCAAAAGCAACGCCAGTCGGGCGGGGCTAGGGCTAGGACGAGGATGAATCTGTCCCTGAGCGTTCCAGAGAACTCCCAGCGCGTCCAAGAACGCTCTGAGAAGGCCGTGGCGCCCGAGACATCCCCTGGAGCCGCCAGACCTCAGAGCCTCTCTCAAAAAATGGACCCCGGCCCGATGTTTGAGCCTCGTCCTGGCTCAGTCCCAGCCAGGATCTCAGGGCATCCTCCAGGGCCCCTCTTTTTCGGGGGCGGACAGAACCCCCACCCTGACACGTCGACTAAGTAGTACATTGTCCGTTTTCGGTTCTCGAGAGGGCGCCGCGGTCGTCATTTTCCAGGCTGGCGCCTGCCAGGTTTGGGCCCGAGGTCGTTTTCACCGAACCACGTTTTACGAAAGGGGGTCCGGGTCCTGTCCATCCCCGACTTGAGCCGCCGAGGCGAGGGCGGCCCGCGCGCGCCGCGCGCGCCACGGCCGGCGGGCGCGGCCGGCGGCGCGGCCGCGCTCGCCCTCGCGGGGCGGCCGCGCGCGGGCCGGGCGGAGCCGCGCCGCGGCGGCGACTGGCCGCGGCGGGCCGCCGCGGGGGGCGGCGGGCGACTGCCGCGGAGCTCAAGGCCGAGCTCCTGGAGCTGTGCGGAGAGCCTCGGCCACGCGCAGTGCGGGTCGGGCGGGGCTCCTCCTCTTCCTCCTCCTCCTCCTCCTCCTCCGCCTCCTCCTCCTCCTCGCCTCCGCCTCCCTCCTCCTCCTCCTCCTCCACTCCACCTCCACCTCCTCCTCCACCTCCTCCTCCTCCTCCACTTCCCTCCTCCTCCTCCTCCTCCTCCTCCTCCTCCTCCACTTCCACCTCCCCCTCCTCCTCCTCCACTTCCACCTCCCCCTCCTCTCCTCCTCCTCCTCCCTCCTCCTCCTCCTCCTCCGCTTCCACCTCCTCCTCCTCCTCCTCCTCCTCCTCCTCCCCTCCTCCTCCCCAATAACACGCCCAAACGTTGCGGGGCTATCGGGCGAGTCTAGGCCCCCCAGGTTCGGGGAAACGTAGGACTCGAGTAAGCCGCAGCTCGGGTTCACCGACCTTTTTGGACGAGAGCGTCGTGGATTTTGACGGTCCCGTTTTTGTGGAATGTTTGCAGCGGGAGCCCGCGTCAAATTTCAGATTGGGCCTCGTCATTTTTATGATGGCCCTGCTGGGCCAACCCGAGTCCCCCGTACCCGAGTCTTACGTCTCCCCGACAGGTAGGGTCGGAGGATGGCGCCGCACCGCCGATGCATCGGCGATGCGGCTCGATGTGGAGCCCGATCTTTTCCACGCCGTTGTCGCCGATGCGCCGCCGACGTCGTCGTCGATGCATCAGCGAGATGCATCGGCGATGCATTGGTGATGCGGCGCGATCCCCCGACCCCATCTACTCCGACCCATAAAACGCGCAGTGTGGGTCGGGCGGGGCTGTTCGAATAATAAACCACTCCATAAACATTAACTTTTGCCGGCCCGCGCGGATTTCTTGGATCCGCGCTGCGGCCCCCCAGCGGCGCCTCTGGCGGCGCCCCTGACGCGCGGAGCGGGCCGGGGAGGGGTGCCCAGCGCAATTTCAAGAAGTCCGCGCGGACCGGCGAATGTTGATGTTCATGTAGTGTTCTGCTCTTCTAGCTTTAGAGGACGTTCCAGAACGCTCTTCGGGGAGGCCGCGGCGCCCGAGATTCCAGATGCATCTTCCCCCGAGGTGGACGGAGGAGGATCCTCCTCTGTCCTTCGAGGCCAGCAACGCTTTGCATAGATGCAACTGAAGATCAATCATCACAAGACTTTCCCATACAAACCTTGTATTTCCCAACATACATGTTATATGGTATGTATACGCTCTTATTTCAAAGAACTATCAGACCTCAGGGGAGGGGGGAGGGGCCCAGACCCCCCCGGGACATGATGAAAAGAGAACACGGCGGGAGGTTTCGCGCTATTTTCGGCCTCCAGGGGTTCTCACCGGGCCGCGGGAGAGTCAAAAACGATGCAGGGTGAAGCATTGGTCCTGGGTCGTGGGTCCAGACTTCCGGAGGTCGACCTCAGGGGTCCAGACCCTGTGGGGAGGGCTTCTTAGACCCTCTGGGGAAAGCGCGGGCCTTAAGGTTGACGCCTTGTAAGAAGCAGCCTCCTTCTAGGAAGCCTTCCCCCCTCCCTGCGCCATTGTGCGCGCCGCCATGATCAGGGGGTCGTTGTTTTGTCTCTGGCGATAACTGTCATTGCCTTTGGTGGGCCTGGTAACGTCACGATTCGCGCGGCACCGTCTGGGAATCAATGGCCAAACGGCGCCGGCACGAAACGTGATGCGTTACTAGGTGGGTGGGGAGAAGGGGGGAGCATCCACGGTAACGGCCGTTATCGCGAATCGTAAAACACGCGTTCCAGGGGCAGCCGAACACGAGCAACGACGAAAATCGGGTTCCACTACGCGGACAGTCACGCGTAAGCTTCCAGCGTAAGGCCGCGCGTGAGCGCCCTCTTCTCAGAATTCTCCACGCGGTGTGCTGCGCTGGCGGCCCGCGTAAGCCGCGGCGTAAGGTGGCTATGGCCTCTTGCGTAAGACCCGCTTCTTTTTTTGTCGCTCACTTGGGTTTGAGGCGACCTTCGGCAGTGAGTCGTGGGAGCCTGGTATGTCTTCGCAATTCCGTCTTTAGAGTGCACTGGCGTGCGCCAGCATCCAGTAAACGTCCAGAAAGTGCTTGTTTAGTATCGATGTAGCGTCAATCAGCGTCGGTTAGCGTCGGTACGCAAGTGCCAGCGAGATGGCATGGGAGGTCCCGATGAGTTGGCACCGAATTTGCAACCTAACCTGTGTTTGAGACGATCTTCACGAACCTGGCGAACCAGGCAGCAGCGGGGAGGGTAGAGACAGTACATGCGAGTGACCTTCATCCGATGCTTCTGTGCAGTGCCGTTTCGGATGAAGAGCCCCTGGAGGCCGAAAGTTACCTGCGCTCGGCACACAACGCATCAGCATCCGTGCAGGCTCGATTGCGGACTTGCCGTCGGGGGCACGTCGCCGAGGAATCGAGGATATACGTATAGATCGATATATATATATATAGAGAGAGAGAAAGAGGTCTGTGTGTGTATCGCCGCTTCCGCGTCGATGTTCCCCCCTCCCCGAGCCAGCCACTCAGCCGCTGCCTCTCAGGAGAGGGGGAGGCGGGCCGCGGCCGGGTGGAGGCGGCCCGCCGCGTGGAAGAGATCGTCTCGGCGCTGGAGCAGGGCTACGGCGGTCCGCGCGCGGGGTGCCTGCGGGAGGCGCGGGAGGCCATGGAGGGCCGCTGGCGGCTGCTGTGCACCTTCGTGCCCGGGGCGGCGGCCGCGGACGTCTCCAGCCTGGACAGTTGGCGCGAGTACGTGTTCGGCCGGGGGCCCTCGCCGGTGCAGGCGGCGGCGCTGTCGGGGGACGCGGCCCGGCGCGTCTACCAGGCCATCGAGCTGGGGGGCAGCGCGGGCAGGTGGCACAACGTGGTGGACGCGCTGCCCTTCGCGGTCTTCTGCATCCAGGCGGACGTGAGCCTGGAGGCGCCGAGGGCACAGTCGGGCGGGTGAGGTGTTCGAGGTTCGAGGTTCTCGGGCGTTCCGGTGTGCTCCCGGATGCTTCTCGGCCCCGGGGGGCTCCCCAGCAGCTGCGCCTCGCCAAGAGCATCCTGGGCTGCCCGGAGCGTCCCGAGCGGCCGCCCGAGGCCCCAGTTGATGGCCCGAACATGATTCGGATCAGCGGCAACGGCAGCTCAGGCGGGGACGCATCGACCCCCAATCGTCCACTCATCGCCAACAGGCACAGGGACCCGATAGCCCGCCCCGCCCAAGAGCATGCGGATCCGCTATCGGTGGCCTTTCGCCGATCCATCGTCGATTCCAGGTCGACGTTCCTTCCCCTGCGCCGGCCCCCCCCCTTTCGTCGTTGCCCCTCGAGGAGGCGGCGGGTGGCGCCGGAGGCCCCGCGCTGCGGTTCCAGTGGACCGGCGGCCGCATCACGATCTGCCGCCTGCCCTGGTCCTCGGAGGACCTCGAGGAGCCCTGGCGGCTGCCCTACCCCGTGCCCTTCGCGGCCCTCGGGGACCGCGCGCGCGGGACGTTCGACACCATGTACCTGGACGGCGACCTGCGCATCGCCCGCGGCTCGAAGAGCGGCAGCGTGTTCGTGCTGGTGAGGGAGGGGGGGCGCCTGCCGCTCGAGAGCGAGTACTACCCCGAGCTCACGAGCAAGCCGGCCTGAGCGGTGCACGGGGGAGGGCGGCGGCGGCGACGGCGGCGACGGCGGCATCCGCCGCACGCGCCGTCCTCGCGGCGGACGCTGGCGTCCACTGGCGGCCGACAGGGAGCGGCTCTTGGACGAGGAGCTGGCTCTGGGGGGCAAAAAGGCCCCTCGGGGCCCGTCTTCAAGTGTGCTCGCGGTTCGGGCGGTTCGGTTGCGTCGCAGTCGGTCCGCTCGGTTCGGTCGGTCATTGACGGTGCCGCGTCGCTGCGCCAGTCTAGGTTGCGTTCGGCCTGTCGACTTCGGTCGGTGTCGATGTCGCTGTCGCTGTCGGTTTGGTCGGTGTTCGGCTTTGCCGTCGCCGTGCACAGCCTTGGAAGAGGGTCGAAGAACACAAACCTGATATAAAATGTATCAGCTTTCGGAGCAACGCCCGGATCTCTTGGATCGGCGATGGGCCCCCCCTGCGGCGCCTCCCAAGGCCGATCCAAGGGATCTGCGCGGAGCTCCACGTGCACATGTTGGTGCCGTCTTTGCCCCTCCAGAGGGGTGATGGAGGGAGTGGTCTGGGCGGGGCCAGGACGAGGATAAGTCCGTGCCAGAGCAATGCGGAGAGCTCCCCGCGCGTCCCAGAACGTTCTGAGAAGGCCGCGGCGCCCGAGACGTCCTCCAGATCCGCCGGAGCTCAGAGATTTTCACTTCATCCTCACTCGATGTTGTCCTCGTCCTGGCTCCGTTGTGGTGGTGGCGGAGCTCGGGGGAGCGGGAGGTTTCTCCCGTGGCCGCCTGCTGCAGTTGTCCCGCCCGCTGCCCGGGCGCGGCGCCCTCGGTGGGCCTGGGCGAGGCTTCTCTCCGAGGTCGCGCGGCCAGCAGCACGTCTGAGCGCGCAGAGGTCAGGAGGGAAGAATAGACATAGACATCCATAATTTCCGATGTTCCGAAGGCATTGGAGAATGTTTGAGATGGAGGCGAACACGAACATCAGGAAATATTGAAACACATGTGCAGGCTCACCGGCGAGTTTGCAGGACATGTGGGTCCAAGGCAGAGCAGCGGCACACTCTGCCGCCGACGCCTTGCCGAGGCGCGAACAAATCAACACAAAGCCGTGGATCTCATCCAGTACACTTGACCACATACATCGCCGCAGCATTGCACGATCAAATAACAACAAATTAGAGGAGAAAATGTTGTTAAAACAGGTTTGTAAAACATGCAAGTTGGACAAGACTATTTGGGTTGATGAACAAGTATCATGTGGTAGTTGGGATGCCCTGAGAAAGCATTGCCGGCCGAAACCACGACGACACGGGAGACTTAAAAATTTGAACGGCGAGTTTGTGGACAGCACGCAGAGAGCTGACACGATGGCCGACTATCTGGAGCAGGTGCAATGGAAAGTACGTTTTGCACAGTTCCTGGAAGACGACGCCTATATAGGAGACCAGTTGCCAATATTAGAGTCAGACTTCACCAAGGAAGAGGTGCGCAACACCATCAACAAGCTCAAACGCGGCAAAGCATGCGGAGTTGACGACATACCAGCGGAATATTGGAAGGCCATTTCTACATATTCAGGTGGGTTTGAGTGGATCACAGATCTATGCAACAAATGCTGGAACGAACAAGCATTACCTGAAGATTGGAAGCAATCCATTGTGTCCATCTTTTACAAGAACAAGGGGACCTTCGACAATTGCGACACTTACTGGCCAATCAGCTTGCTATGTGCTGCTTACAAATTAATGGCCGCACTCATCTTGAAACGGCTGCAAGACGGTGGAGCAGAAAATCGGTTTACATTTACACAATACGGATTTCGCAGAGGATATGGAACTTCAGACGCTGTACGCGCCGTTCGTCGATACATCGACTTGGCCTACGCGGAGAAGGAAAGAGGTATATCGTTCTTAGCTTTGGATTGGAAGAAAGCGTTTGACTCGCTTAACGTGGGCGCAACTCTTAGAAGCATTACGTAAATTCGGAGTACCGCGACGCATCAATACGACCATTGGCAACATCTACAGCAGCAGCACGTTCAACATCGACAACATACATCTACATAAAGACGGCAACTTTCTGGAATATCCCGAGGCTGTCCGCTTTCACCGCTCTTGTTCGTTATTGTTATGACGATGGTATCACGAGACGCCGAGCGCCACGCAGACTCTTGTGTGCGCGAGGCTCTTCGATCAGAAACACTGGCTGTGTTACTGTACGCCGACGACACGCTGCTCGTTGGACGTGACCAAGTTCGTATGCAATCGCCTTTGGGAGACATAGAGAATCAGGGGCCCGGGTCGGCATCGAGTTGCATTGGGACAAGTTCCAGTTCATGCGTGTTCGTTGCGGTATGAGCCTTTTGACGCCACAGGGCGAACCAATCCCAGCCAAAGAGTCAATTGTGTATATTGGGGCAACAATCTCGAGCTCAGGCCGGCCCTCTTGAGAATTCAGCAATAGTTGGGGCAGTTCGGGGTGAATTTTACAGATATAGGCGCGCGTGGAAACACACAGCTACCAGGAAGGCCCGCAAACTTCAAGTTCCCCTATCTCCCGTCACGAGTAAGGTCATGAATTCTCTGAATTCGGCGTGGCTCAATATGGCAGAACGTCGACAGCTAGATGGTTTTCAGGCCCGGTACCTCCGCAGTATCTTGCGCATCCCGTCCGCGCACATCTCCAGAGTTCCCAACAGAGACGTGCTGCTGCGAGCAAATCAAGAGCCGTGCACGACGCAGCTCCTGAGACAACAATTTCTGCGGTTTGGAAAAATCGGTTGGGCTAGCAATTCGAATTTGTTGCGGCGCCGTACGTTTCAGGACGGACGCCTGCGTCCAGCCACAGACGCTTGCGCCCGGGCTGTAGGGCGGCCGAGGAATGAATGTGCAAAGTGCTTAATGAAGACGATCGGTCCGCCTTTCGCTTCAAAGGAGGCTGCAACGCAAAGCATTCGCGAGCCCGCAGTTTGGCGAAAGTTTGTGGCAGATTTTGCATCGTCTCTTCCTCCACCCCCTCCCCCTTCTGCACACTAGCCTTGGGCAGTTCAAGAGAGAATGTTGGTACCTGGTAGGCCGCCATTCCCGCAAAGCGGCAATCGGCGTGCTCTGTCGCTTGCCCACGCGCTTCGGCGTGTGGCACTTCTGTCTGCCTGTCTATTCATTAGGAGGAAGGGAAGGGGCAGACTCCCCCGTGCGGGCGCGGGAGCCCGGATCAGTGATCTCACTCCAGGTTGCGGCGCCTCGTCGCCAAACATATCGACGAAGCTCGAGCCTGTGTTATCATCGCGACGTCGATATCTCCCCTACAACATCGACAGGGAGTACCACCCGTGAAAAGCCAGTCGGATCGAGCACCACAGGGCGGGCGTTGCTGCCGCAGGTGTGCCAATCACTTTCGCCTCGACAGCCCAATACATTCTCGCCCCCCCCCCCACATTTGCCCATGCTGCGACGCCATATCGGTCCATGGGAAAACCGAAGCGCGCAAGAAGGACTACAACAAGCGCGCGACCGGCCACAACTTTACTACTGGATAGTTCCGTTTCGTTAGCCCCTTTAGTTGGCCTCTGGGCTGTGGTGCCCCCATGCTACTTGGACCCAAAGGTGGTGGGCCCCCCCTCAGTTCAAGAACCAGGAGGTGGGCAGTCTGAGGCAACTACTGGACGATCAGGAGCTCATCCACGACCGCCGCGACCTCGCGCGACTGGGTGATCCTACAGCCGCACTGGACAGTGTTAGTGCCTCAAGTTCCGATCGTGGTAACACGACCAGACCTGTGGCATACGCACTTACACTTGATCCAGTATTCTGGCGATGCAGACTCCGGGCGCCGTTGGTAATCCGAGCAGTAATCCGATCTACGGACTGTGGTTTTGGCCCGGGTGTCTTGCCCCCTGGACCAGATTGAATATCCAATCCAGCCGATGGAACTTCGCAATCTAGACTTGATATTCTCCCACGCGATGGAGTCCAAGAGACGCCAGAGTCTTCACCGAATGAGTTCAAACGAGAGCAGACTGAACACGATCAAACCGATTTAGACCACCACTATGCCGTCATGAAGTTTGCTTGCCCGCGCCAATGAGGAAACCGATCGCGACCTATCCGTCCACAAGCAGCACATCACCTTCCACATCATCGGCCGATGCATCGCGTATGCCAGCGGTTGCGAAATCCCCAACAAGTCCAAGGATACGCCCTTGGATACATATTGCATGCTGGGTGAACTGCGATCACGCACGCAAGGTTCTATATTGCGACGGCGAGGGAGATCCCAACAACGACGACGTCAAGAGCCAGTTGAAAAACTTGAGGGGGGAACTGCTGATACGCGCTTCGGGCCTTCACGCCAGAACCATTGAAGCCCGACGTGGTATTGTCAGAGGCGTGATGCGAACCATGGCAAGTTATCGGAAAAAGACACGTCATCCCCTATTGCTTCCCGCGGACGGCTGGCTGAAGCAATGTTGGCACGCAGCGCATTTATTCCCCATATCCTAAGATGGGGTTCTTGTTATTGATAGAGCTCCAGTGGTTCACCTCGTAATTGAAGAAGGGGGACATTTTCCACCCCCCCTCCCTCGGCTGGGGATTAGGGTTAGGGTTTAGGGGGTTTAGATTAGATCTTTGGGTAAGGGTTAGAGGTTAGGGTCAGCATCAGGGGCAAGAGTAAGGTTTACGGGTTAGGGTTAGGTCTCAGGGCTGGGGTCAGGGATGAGGGTTCGGGTCAGGGGCTAGGGTTAAGAGTAAGGGGTAGGGTTCGGGTTTATGGTAGGGTTAGGGCTAGGGTGAGGGCAGTCCGGGGTTAGGGACAGGACAGGACAGGACAGGACAGGACAGACAGCGATGTGCGCCCCGGGGGGCGGCCCTCTAAGAGCTCGGCGGGGGCGCCGTAGCGCCGAAACTCAGATGTCGTAGCGCATGGTTATTTTACGATCTCGAGTGCGTACTAGTGGCTCCACTAGTACAATCCTCCCCATGAGTTTGAGCATGCAGCGTCGTAAAAAGAAAAGGAGCGTG